GGGGCTGAATAATTTTGCATGCCCAATTTTTCAGTTTTTTATTTGTTAAAAAAGTTTGAAATATCCAATAAATTTCGTTCCACTTCATGATTGTGTCCCACTTGTTGTTGATTCTTCACAAAAAATTACAGTTTTATATCTTTATGTTTGAAGCCTGAAATGTGGCAAAAGGTCGCAAAGTTCAAGGGGGCCGAATACTTTCGCAAGGTACTGTAATTCAAAGTAAACATTAAAAAACAGGCTCAGACAATAAAATGCCTTCACTGATATAGAAAAACCTCATTACACTACATTTTGCCTTTTACCACATAACTAATATCTATGAGGTTTCATTTTTAAAGCCTGCAATTAAGAGTTTACATAAAAAAAAAAAAAAGCTGCTTCAACATAGTTGTGATTGACCAATGGCCTGCTGTTCACCACACAGCTGCCAGCAGTTGCTATTCAGTTACTTTGTTGTTCTTTAACTTGTTTGATTTTCTTAAATGCATATCACAGTTTAGTCAGACCAGAAGCAAACTGGTTTCTAGCTGACATGCACAGCCACACCTGTTTGAGAGATGTTATACCTGTACATTCCACAGCCACAGCTCAGAGCAGTCATCAGGACCACAGGCTATCAGATAGGCATCATCAGGGCTCCATGCCATGTATGAAACACCGTAAGCATGACCCTCCAGAGTCTTCATTAACTTCAGCTGCTGGGTTTCCTGTCAACCAACAGCCAATCCAGTCAGAATCCAGCTGTTTCAGCACTCACATAGTGACTCATTTTTCCTGCTCTGAAGTCGAACTGATGTAAAGTAAATGACTGATTACCGTGTCGACGTGCCACACAATGACCGTGGTATCTTTGGACCCAGTTGCCAGCTTTGTGCCATTGTTGGAGAACTTGCAGAACCATACTTCATTGCAATGTTCAGTGAGAATCTGCTGAGTGTAGCAGGGGAACTGTTTCCTAATGATGAGGAACACAGACAGATCAGGCAGAACACACCTCCTAATGCAATCTATAATCTGCTTATAGGTTTTTTGCAGTTATTTCTCAGGTACTTGGGTAGATTATTGCCTTTATTTTTAAATTATGTTTAAGTGTTGGTGTATATTTGCTGAATGTGCACATATATAGAGTAGCAAGAAGGAATTACATGTATTAATGTATAAATATAATAAAAATATGATCAGGTATACATCTAAGTTACATTTCTGAACAATCTATTTTAACTAACAACACACAAATTACTGTATTATTCTGGACCATACTAAACAAATCCTTACAACTTTGAGAGTGTAGGTTGGGAAAAGTATGTGAACCCCTTGGCTAATGACCAATAAGAAGGTGTGGGATAGAGCAGTCAGACTAACTAAATAAATGTCCCTACTCTCCATAGAAGTGAGAACCAGCTAAGATGACCGTAAAGGCACAGCACTGAATCTCAGTGAGGTTAATATTAAAAAAAAGGAATCAGTGGTGCTGGTTAACATGTCTATTGAATAGTCTACTATCCCCATATCATGGTGCATGGCGCATGGACAGAGGAAGCCACTGCTCTCCACAAATGGTCTTCTGGTCTTTTACTTGTATAGCGCTTTTCTATGCATTGCAGCACACTCAAAGCACTTTCAAACTATTCACCCACTTGCACTCACACATTCATGCATCGTTGCCATAACCAGGAGCAACTGGGATTTCAGTGTCTTGCTCAAGGACACTGACATGTGGACAAGCCAGGAATCGAACCACTAATCTTCCAGTTAGGAGACAACCCCATCAAAAAACATTACTGCATACTTGAAGTCTGCTAAAAAGCAGCTTGACTCTCTCCAGCACTACTGAATAAACATTTTTTGGACTAATGAACACACAGCACTGTGTATGGTGTGAAATGGGCCCTGCAAACCAACATGAAAGCATCTCAGTGGCGAGCTATAGTGGAGGAAACTTAATGATGTGGGGATGCTTTGTACCCACAGGTTAGGCCTATCAATATGTTGGAGCCGGTGTATGCTGGTGTATGTGGGTTCATACCGGTTGCAGGCGTGGTCCAGCAACAAGGACACAGAGTCCAGTCCACTGTCCAGCTTGGTATTGTGGTAGAGGCAGCGCTCCCTCTGCAGCTCCACTCTCCCGCTCTCTTTCCCGCACGGAGTCAAGTATAAAGAGGAGCGAGCTAAGCACTCACTGGAGGCTAACTGCTATATGCATTGTTCTTCTGTGACCAGTGACCAGCAATAAAGGGCCCGTGAACAGCAAGTGTGTCGGTCCATGTGTCCCATAACAAAACACAACGCAGCACGGCCAGTCACCAGAGGGACAGGCGAGGATTAAGAGGACAGATTAGAGACCCAAAGGCGACCGGTTACACATACACACACACACACACACAAGAACACACAAAAAAGTCTTATTACTAATACTGGATTAGCATATCCACCTGACTTGCACTAAAATACAGTGTATTAATGTACATTACTGTCATTGTACACTGTAATATTGAGCACACACTGAGTCATAGTCTAGTTATGGTCATATATTTAGTATATGCAGTTATTGCATTCCATCCATTTATCCATATTAAGGAACATCAGTGTATGGAATCAACCACCAAGCACAGCTGGAGTTCTACTTCTCCAGGCTGCATGTTCAGTAGGTGAACGTGTAAGTGTGCATGGCACTTTCTTTTATACTGGTATATACAGAGCATTTATGTTTGTTTTCATATCCATTTTCTCTTCACCTCCCAGCAGGTGCTGAATTAACCAATCAACTTGCTTGACACACAGATCTGCATAGCACACGCCCAGATTTGGGAGATACAGCATCTATAAAAAGTTTTCACCCCCTTGGATGTTTTGACCCTTTTATTGATTTTATAAATAATCATGGTCAATATAATGTGGCTTTTTGACAAAAAGAATTACAAAAAACCTCTGTCAAAGTGAAAACAGGTTTCTACAAAGTAATGTCAATTAAATAAGAATATGTAATGTGAAATAAGTGACTGCATAAATGTTCACCGCCTTCAAGTCAGTATTTAGTAGATGCACCTTTGGCTGCAATCAAAGCACACAATCATGGTGCCCTCCGAGGCCGACGTGTTTGCACGTTCCACTCGAATGCCGGCTTTTTCTTCTTTTTTGTGTTTTTTTTTTACTTTTTCTGTAGTGCACAAATGTCATGCACTGTTAACATACAACAGAGAGGCATTGCTGGATATCACCAACTCACACAGCTACTGGGAATTTACTAGTTTCATACCACCGGAGCTACAACTCATTGTTTGCTCCCGCAACAACAACCACCATCACCCACAGGAAGCCCCCAAAGCACCAAGCACAAGTGAGCAGGCTGACCCCAGGACAGCGATCCGGAGACAGGGCAAAAGAGGAGGGCTCCATTCTAGGCTAAAAGCTCGCACTACCCAACCACCCGTACCCAGCCTCTTCCTAGCTAACATACAGTCTCTGGAAAACAAACCAGTCGAGTTAAGGGCTAGGATTACAACACAACGGGAAATAAGAGAATGCTGTGCTCCAATTCTCACCGAGACTTGGCTTTCTGACAAAATCCCAGATTCTGTGATTCAGCTACAGACTCACTCTGTACATTGGGGAGACCGCACTGCTGCTCTTTCTTTCCGACTGCCATCAGACTCCTAAACAGCTGACTCAGCATCTACCTCATGTAAATTCATCTGTACTGTTTACATACTCATTTTGCACATGCATAATTGCACACTCACTGCTGAGTATTTGCACTCCACGGCTCCCATGTAGTATATATTCTCTCTGCATTATATTGTGTCCTTGTATTTTTATTTGCTTTCTTCACCTGCTGCTTTAAAGTGCCTTAGATTTGTGATTTTACTGCCTAATAAGATTTGTGTTATTGCTCATCTACTTTATATTTCACTTGAATTATGTGGCATTCATGTCGACGGCAAAGTAAGAATTTCATTGTACAGTGGAACATGTTTCCTAACTGTGCATATGACAAACACTTTGACTTTTGACCTTGACATGTGGACACTGCAATTTTACTCCATTCTTCTTTGTAAAACTGCTCAAACTCCAGGTTGTGCGGGGAACAGCCCATTTCAAGTCAAATCCTCACAATCCTCTATTACATTGAGGCCTGGGCTTTGACTCGGCCACTCCAGAACACTCACCTTGTTGTCTTTAAACCATTTCTGTGTAGCTTTCACTGTATTCTTCGGGTCATTGTCTTGGTGGTAGTTCTCTTGCAGACTGAATAAGATTGTCCTCCAGGATTTTCCTATATTTTGCTGCTTTCATTTTACCCTCTACCTTTACAAGCCTTCCATGGCTGTCTGCCGAGAAGCATCCCCACAGCGTGATGCTGCCGGCACTGTGCTTCACAGTGGGGATGGCGTGTTTGTGATGATGTGCAGCATTTAGTGTCCACCAAACATAGATTCTTGTCTGATGACCAAAAAGCACCATTTTGGTCTCATCAGGCCAAAGAACTTTCTTCCACTTGACCATGGATTCTCCCACATGCATTTTTGCGAACTCTAGTCAAGACTTAATATGAGTTTTCTTCAACAGTGGCTTTCTCTTTGCAGCTCTCCCATAAAGCTTTGACTGGTGAAGAACCCAAGCAACAGTTGTTGTCTGCAGGTTCTCTCCCATCTCAGCTGCTGAAGCTTGTAACTCCTTCAGAGTAGTCATAGGTGTCTTGGTGGCCTCTCTCACTAGTCTGCTTCTTGCACGGTCACTCAGGTTGTGAGGACGGCCTGATCTAGGCAGATTTAGACATTTGCCATATTCCTTCCATTTCTTGATGATTGATTTAACTGAACTCTGGGGGATGTTCAGTGCCTTGGAATTTTTTTTGGATCCATACACTTATACTTTTCAATAACCTTTTCTCTGAGTTTTTTTGGAGTGTTCTTTTGTCTTCATGGTGTAATGGTAGCCAGGAATACTGATTAACCCCTAACCCTTCAGGACACAGGTGTCTTTATACTACAATCACTTGAGAAACATTCACTGCACTCAGGTGATCCCATTTCACTAATTGTGAGACTACTAGCACCAATTGCCTGGAGCTGTGTTGAATTAGGTCAGCCATTTAAAAGGGAGTGAATATTTATGCAATCACTTATTTCCCATTACATATTTTATTTGACATTACTTTGTAGAAACCTGTTTTCACTTTGACATTAAAAAGCTTTTTTGTAACTTTTTTGTCAAAAAAGCCAAATTATATCGAGCATGACTGATTTATAAAATTAAAAAAGGGTAAAATATCCAAGTGGATGAAAAGATTTTGTAGACACTGTATATGTCATTATAACTCATTTGAGAGCTTCACTCTGTATCTCTCACACCCAAACTGGAAAACTCAAAAGCCCGTTCTGTTATTGTATACCGTCCACCTGCTCCTTATTCAGAGTTTTTAAGTGAATTCTCAGACTTTGTCTGATTTAGTGCTTAGTACAGATAAAATAATCATAGTAGGCGACTTTAATATTCATGTAGATGC